AATTTCACTCAGGCTGCTTTTTCCTTAAGCTTATCTTCCTTAGAATTCTCTCTTCAGTTTTTTGGTAATGATTTTCAAAGGGTTGAAGTCCTGTTTACCATCAGACTGACATTTGGTTGCCATAACGATTGTGAAATGCTTGTGTTCTGTGTCTCATGGCATGATCACAAGCACTGAATTGCACATGACATAAGACAGAGATAAGACCCCTATGAATATATGGTTTATGACACCGATATAGATGATGTGCCAAGCTTAGTGTAGTGCAAAAATGTCTTGTTTAAAGGTATAGTTCACCCAAAAATCTGTTTTTATTTACTCACCCTCATGTCATTGCAAAATTGTATGATATTCCTTTGCCCATGGAACACAAAAGGGGAATTTCCGAAGAATGTCTCGATTGCTTTTTATCACATAATATTGAAGCTGTCAAGCTTCAAAATGACAAAAAAACATAGCACTTCAAGCAACCATTTGTCATTTTGAAGCTTTACAGCAACAGTTCACATTCACTTTCATTATCTTGGCCACTCTTTTGATTATATTACTAAGAAATTCACCTTTGTTCCCCAGAAGACGGAGAGTCAGGTTTGGAATGACATGAGGGCGAGTAAATGATGACAGAATTTTTATTTTTAAGTGAATTATTCTTTTAAATCTATTTATTAGTGTGCATTTTGTAATTCTTTTTAATTCTTTATATCTTCAAGGTCATTACCAGGTACAACGGCAGCAGAGTGTGAATCAAATCTCAAAAAGATATACACTGTCCACACTGTACAAGTAGGTGTTGCACTTTTATTAGAAGTCATTTTGTAATTTTATAATTATATGTTTTGCCTGATCAACCTGAAAAACGAGTCCTTTGATATATTAATCAAGATGTGGTGAAATTTCTGTTTTTGTAGAATTTTAATTGAGATATATGCAAATTTGGCAAGCCCAAATTTGACGGATGCTAATAACTGATAATTATTATGTTCAATATTTTGCTTGATCATCTTTCCAATTCATTATAGCTTCCATTTAGATTTGTATATGACTTAAATGAAATTAGGCACCAAAATATTATAATGGACAGTGATAGTGTTTAATAGTTTTGTAAGCCAGCAGAAAAAAAGTTTACTGTTGCAGTTGGGAAAAATATTGTTGCTGATATATTATGCATCACTTATTTTTCATAACATAAAGAGTTTCTGGAGTGTGTACAACAACATCCCTGCTGTGTCCTGCCTCCCTCTGAGGTGTAGCTACCACTTAATGCGAGGAGAAAGAAGACCACTATGGTGAGTCTTCAGCCAATTCACGATAAAAGTTCTTTTTTTTTCTTTTTTCTTTTTGTTAAAAGAAATGAATACTTGTTATCAGCAACGATGCATTGAATTGATCAAAAGTGGCAGTAAAGACATTTATAATGTTACAAAACTTCTATTTCAAATAAATGCTGCTCTTTTGGACTTTGTATTCGTCAAAAAATCCTGAGCAAATCTGTTTCATTTAAACGGTTAATAAAAATGTTTCTTGAGCAGCAAATCGGCATATTAGAATGATTTCTTAAGGATCATGTGACACTGAATACTGGAGTAATGATGCTTTGCATAGTAAATTCAGCTTTGCATCACAGGAATAAATCGCATTTTAAAATATATTAAAATAGAAAATATTACGGATTTTACTGAGTTTCTGATCAAATAAATGCAGCCTTTGTGAGCATAAGACACTTCCTTTACTTTTTAACTGGAATGTATATCTGTCCTCAGCTTGGGAAATGCCTTTGGGACAATTTATGTAAACCATTTTGTTTAAAAATATTTTTTTCTGTCTACACAGGGAAGAGGAAAGCAATGCCAAAGGAGGTGTTTGGAAAATGAAAGTGCCAAAGGAGAGCACAGTAAGTCTGCTCCACTTTGACTTGTAGACTGACTGCATAATGTAAATACGTTAAATACATACACAAATTCAGTATTTTCCCTTACATTCTGGTGTGTGTTATCACTGCCAAAATATAATCTGTCCATATCCTTTTTTTCTAACAGTTAGCTGTGTGGAAGGAGCTGCTATTGGCTACAATTGGTGAACAGTTCACAGATTACTGTGCATCAGGTGAGTATAGAAATATGTTCTATTCAATTATTTAAATGATGTTTATTTTATTGATAACATTTAAATAAGTAATGCAATATTTGTCTTTTAGAGGATGAGGTGGTAGGAGTAAGTGTCAGTGTGAGAGAACGAGAAGATGTGGTTCAGGTCTGGAATGGAAACGCCTCTTTTGCCAATGAGGCAAACGTTTTAGGAAGAATCTACGAACTTCTTCCACAGATATCTTTTAAAGCAGTATTTTATAAACGTAAGTGTCAGCGGTTTACATTCTTCTCACTGCATGCCACACTGTCCATGCTGAGAGTTCACTGTTTATTGTTGAAACAATAGTTGCGTGAGAACTCCCTAATGGCTGGATACAATGTTATACATTTTTCAATTAAACTAATTGTATTTATAGATTTGGTTAAGTTAATTAACACATTTTAAGTGCAAAAACACCATAGAATTGTTATTGACTCATTCCATTTTTTTTTTTTCAGCACACGAGGAGCACCATGCATTTGAAGGTGGTCGCTCAAGACATTAGCAAGCTTTGCACATTCACCACAGTTTTCCCTGTTTTTGGACTGATCCTAGAAAATGGACTGAAAACGGAAAAAGAATCCCTCCTGGGCGAACAGAACTCTTGGGTTTTGCGGTTGTTTCATGTCACATTGGGAATGTTACAGCCCTGTTTTTAAGTTGTAAGCGTTGCAGATGATTCCTCCATGCTTTTTGTAAGGAGTTTTCTCATAACAGATATTTAGGCAATATCAATAAAGCTCACATAGCCAGTAGCATATGTAATATAAATTAGGGTGACCATAAGTGCCATGTTTCCCGGATGCATCCTGGCCAAGATTTCTATATTGCCTAAAATATCTAGGGTTTGGCTTTGTTTGCATGTACAGACCGATTGGTGTATGACATCGGTTCCTTATGTTTTCGAAACGCTCTCGAGATACTTTGAATCAAAGCAATATAGAAATCCTGGCCAGGACGCGTCCGGGAAAAATGGCACGTAAGGTCACCCTAATATAAATCATCACGACAGAGCAATGTTGCCAATTGTCATGGCCCATTTCTAGGTTTAGTGATCAAATGTGCAGTCCAGTGACAGTTGCTGCTTGTCAAAGTATATACTCATTGTGTTAGAAATCCATTAGGATCAAACTCTTTAGGGCTGTTTTTCCTTAGACACACATTAGGCATAACCTTAGACTAAATAAAGGTCTAAGGCTAAGCTTAATTTGCTTATGGGAACTCTTTTATGCAAAAGTATTGCACATTTCTCTTTGGGAAAAAAACTCTGGCTTGGAGGTTATTAATGATTTCAGAGCAAATGTAAGTGGGTGTAACAGCCTTGGTTATAACAGTAAGTATACAGCGAAATGCATATGCAATTCCACGTTTTCACCCTAAATGTGATATTTAAGTCAATTTAAATAATCCTGTATTAATCACATGAGGGTAAATTCTTGCATCTTGCGAACGGCTTTGCTTTTATGATTTAGAAAACTGTATCCAGACCTCCTCCTGTAGTATTTTATGTAAATCAAAGCTGTTTTAGAATGGCGTCATAGCACTGTTGTACTTCTCTTTTCTTTTTTGCTTACTGCCTCGTGGTTGACATCCTGCATTTTGTTCTATGTGTTGCTGTCTTTGTCAAAATAGTCCAACTGCTTAATATTTTCATTATCGGAAATCATTAAGTCTATTTTTTTTTTACTTATGCATTTGCTTCTAATTGCCTTTTTATTCGCTGTAGTCACACTGTGTCTTGTTTCAGATTGTAGTTTGTTTTATTGTGTTTGGATGGATGCTTATGTTGGAAAACTTGTGAGTCGAGGGGAGCTAGTGTAGATATTGTCAAATTATGAAACTGAAAAGGACCTGTGTTATCATCAGAGCATATATTTTTTTAGTTTTTCAGTACCAAAGAGATTTCCTTTATGTTTTCCTGTGTTATAATTCATCATCGTCTGTGATCTGCCCGTGTCTGCGTCCTTCTGAACTCGTATAGAGAGAGTTAAACCCATGTTTCTCGCGTTCGTTTTTACTGATGTCTTTTTCATTAGCTCACTTTCTGCTGTGTGGCGGTTTTGTTTAGGTTTGTCAAGTCGGAAACTTCAAGCCCGAAAAGACCTGCATCACGAACCAGGTCCCTTAATGCACTAAAAAGCACAATTATGATTTTGTCCTTCATGTGGGCAGGGATGTGCAAAATAACCTGTACATGCAGCTGACCTTTCATATTCCAGCCTTTTCCTACCTATCACTGATCTCTCAATGAGATGCGAGTACTGACGTGGATTTTTGAGTTTATTTTTAGGAGCATTTGTGTCGGTTTTCCTGGCTCCCAATCAGGATCTGAAACCTCAAACTGATTGTCAATCTTCTGGAATGGTGCCTTGTGTTCTCCTAGGGTTTCACTCACAGAATGTTTTGTTTATCTCTATGTATTTAATCAGTTATATTATTTTTTTTTTCTTTTGCTTATAGGTTTTGAAATATTGAATAAATACAAAGCAGAATTCGAAATATGACTACTGCAGTTCAACAAAAAATGTAGTGTCTTTCATTTCAAATGCATACTTATGATGTATAAAATACTAATGTAGTAACCACTAGGTGGCGCTGCACACCCTTTAAACGCAAGTTTTAATGTCTTCACTTGTCTGCATCTCCAATACCTTTTATTTAATTCACATTTCACCAGATTTGCTTCACATAGCTTTCCCTCCAGTTCGTGTTTAATATGCTATTGATTAATGCCTCATGGAATGAATCATATCCAGTCTAGTGCGCAACAGTATTTATTCCTCGCTTCTTGCGCGACGACGCACTACAGCCCTCAGCAGGTGGACGTGACGTCACGCCCCAACAGCTACTCTGCTCTCCAACTCAACTCAAAAACTCGGTTTTGACACCACTCACACACTAAATTTATCCAATTAATCTTGTTTATCGTTTATAATTCGACGCTCGCTGTAAACGGTGCCGTATACTTGCAAAATCCAGTCGCGTGGTCCGTAAAGTAGTCCCTGGGACGCACACTGCGGAAGGATACACTTGTTTACAATGCGCTGCACGCGGCAGTGTGGCGGCCAGCGCGCGGCTGCGCGAGCTTCACGGGAGACTGATACACTGCGCTTTCCAGCTCGCAAAAGTTCGTTCCAGGGTCGCTGTTAAAGTTTGCGTTTCTGTCCGTTGAGAAACCACTTCATCCCCGGTAAGTTTATTCGTTTTATCAAGTTTCCTTCACTGTGTTTATTCGTAATTTACATTGCGAGGTTGATTTGCTAGTTATTAGCCTTATCAGAACTAACGGCAGCGCTGGGGAGCAGACAGGAGGAGCAGCTAATTCAAAACTCTCCACACTTTTATCGCCATTTATTTAGTGTTTTATTACAGGCAATTTACCTTGAACAAAGTCGGTGGCTTTCGTTACACTAGTAATTGTCGCAGCATCCCATTTAAACCCCTCATGGGAGTGTTAGCTGGCTAACATGTGCCTTTGGTTCAGTTCACGTGGAGAACAAAAACAGCCAGAGTAACTTCAGTTCAAGACACTGCACGCAGTCTGTCGTAAATCACATCTAACCTCCAAATCCCCACAGTTTTTAAAATTATTATTATTAAACTGTTACGTTTACAAAACAAATATTAACAACACAGCATATACTAAAAGATACATGCATACTGTACATATACATGCATACAATCTACAAATACATACATGATTGGACTGTTGATCATGCAAAATATACATACACATACATCTTTGGAAGTTAATCAGGTAACTTAAATGCACATTTTTTCAGTTACCCAATCATTCTACATTTAGGCCTAAAATAAAAATGTAGTAATTTGTTTAAATCGGTTATTTTCTTTTTGAACATATCATCTTTACCCATTCAAATATATATAAGTGGGCATTAGTCAAATCTCATTCAATTGAGTGTTAATCCTAACTGGGTGGTTTGATTTTGGTCAGCAGGTTTAAACAGGGACTCAGATGCATCCTCTCATAGAGGCGTGTTACTTTGGTTGTGTCTCATAGCTGAGTGAAGTACCTACCTAGACTTATTTTAGGGCACCTATAATGCAAAGAAGTGCTGCCTAGGTAGGTTGGTAGATCTCCAGGTTTTCACAGCCAGTATTTTTAGTCTACTTGGTTTGCTGAGTTTCATAATTCTTCACGTGTACTAAAAAGTTAAAAAAAAAATCTCCTTCAGTTTCATTGTTTGATTTTGAAGTTGTTGAAACTACAACAAATACAAAAAAGCTACGCCCCTTGACAGGTTTCATTTCTCCTTTTTGCCTCTGAGCATTTACAATTCAGTTAATTATTTGTTGCAGCTCTTTACAGGCATCCCATTCAGTCTTTTTTTTTTACTTTGGTTGTCTGTTCTTAAACCAGGTGTTACTTGCCTTTAGGATCTGGTTCCCTCACTTTACGGTCCATTGTGAAGATCTGTCCATTCAGCACAACTGGAAAACAGTTTCAGTAGAGCGTTAAAGAGGATTTCATTTGTTAGTACAGAGTTCCCAAATTATAATTTTTTTTATGACGAATTATTTACAAGTACCCCTCTGAGATTTTTAAGTTAATATTTCAATAATTTAATGACACATTATCATGTCCACACTTTTCTGATGTCAGTTAATAGTCACACGATATGCAAGTAAACAGAAAACTATTATATTTTCTGTAGTAACTTTCATGTAGAGATAGGTGTGTGTATGTACATGTTATATGTATATATATCTGAAAAAGTTATTAAAATAAAGTTTTTAAATGTATAATACAACCATGTATGAATGAAATATAAACTTGATTTTTATCACATCTACAAAAATTGTTCAGTCAAGATGTTTGTTCATAATCTCTACAATTCGTTTGAGAAGTAGATTGTTGATGTCTTCAAGATTGATCATGATATAGATTTGTCAGATCGCCCACACTTACTTGGGTTCACTCTTTACAAGAACAAGCTAACACCACAAGTTACAATACAAATATTTGTCTTATTCACTTTAAGATGTTCAAACTCTCAAGCTTTTAACATGTCAAATCTTCAAGCTTTTATTGTGGTTTAATATTGGCATGCTGTAAACGTCTGTCCACAAAAATGTTGGCAGTTCTGCTTATGTGAATTTACAAAAAGTAATGTGAACCTAGTGCACATTGATTTTCCAAATGCATTCCCATTTCCAGTTTTGAAAATATGGTATTATGAGCTGCACACGTATAAATAAACACAGTGCCATTTTTTACTCTGAAACTTCTACGTCAATTAAATAGCAGTCTTTGATTTGAAAATTGCAGTTTGATAAGATCAATGACTGTTTCAGCTTTATTAATTGTGCAACCCCACTTGTTTATTTTAATGTTATATTCGATTGAATTAGGGCTGCATGATTAATCAAATGCGATAGTCATGCGCAACTTGTTAGTAAAGCTGGTTCTGTGATTAGTAGTAAATCTCCATCACGTGCTTTCAGATGGAGCAGCATTTTCTACACAGAGCCGTAGTTCACTGACAAGCTACGCAGTATCGTGTTCATTATCGCAGACGATTTAATCGCACAATAATGAAATCGAAGATATCGTTCTGCGATAATGACAGCCGTTTGCGTAGCTTCTCAGTGAACTACAGCTCTGTGTAGTAAATGCTGCTCCATCTGAAAGCATGTGAAAATACCACATTTAATAAATATTTTTACTCCAAACTCACTTCATAACTTCAGTCGAGTGTTTGAAATAAATCCTTCTGTGAGATGATGTGGCTTCTTACAAAGAATAAGGTATGCAACATATTTCATAGTATTCTAAGCAGTGATAAAGGCTATGTCGATTAGCATTGCATTATTATATACTTTATTATCATGAAAATTATAATAATAATTATAATAAGAACTCAGATAAATAATATATTGTCGTAGTCGTGTGTTTATTAGTCATGTTGAATCAATGAAAGCAGTTAAATCTTCTGTTTATTCAGCAACCGCTATTGGGATTTCCTGGATTTCTTCTGCCGGGCGTATTAGGAGTTTCAGCTCGAGAGCGCCCTCTGGCCTTCGGATGGAGATTTACTACTGATCACAGAACCGTGCTTCACTGAAAAATATTTTTCATGCAGCCCTAGATTAAATTAATATTAGTTTCCAACTCATGAACCCCCGTTTGGGAAACCCTGCATTAGTGCATTCTTCTTTCAGATCTTACTCCTTCAGGTGTTTTTCTGTGTCCTGGAGCTTCGTCATATTGTTAACAAACCTGTGATGGCCTGTCTTGTGTTTCACAACTGTGTTATTGATATAGAGTTAAATAGTGTTTATAAACTGCCTGTTTCTCTCTCACTTTTATATCTGCCTGAATAATGCGACGATTGACACATTTTGCCCTGCTTGCGTAATAACAGCTTTAATGACTTACACAAAAGTGATGCCTTATTTCTTAATGACATAACTTTCCCCATCTCCTGCTACACAGTGAATAAGGTAGTCAGGAACCGGTAATGTCACTGTCATAATCCGATTAATGATTAACAGTTTTCTTGACGTCTAGATAAACACCTTTATGGCATATCATACTCAGACGTCCTGCTGTGATGGCCGACTGCCTAATAAACAACAGTCTAGTACATAAATTGCTATATTGCACTCTTGAGACGAATGATGTGATAGTTGAAGGGAGTGCCACAAGCATGAGAGAATGTAGGAGTAAGTGTAATGCGGTTTGTTCTTTCCGAGGAAGCGGCACGTGTGGCGCTCCTAGGTGTGGATGTGTAGATGAACGTGACTGATATTTCCTTTTTTGGTGGGAATTTTAGATTCTGTTTCCCCTTTCTTATGTTCTGGCTTCACCAAGGGTTTCCCCTCAGGGGAAGGGGTTTTAGATGTGTGTGTTAACTAGGGCTGCACGATTAATCGCATGCGATATTTAACGCGCATCTTATCAGTAAAGCCGATTCTGTAATCAGCGGTAAATCTCTATCACCTGCGTGCTTTCACATCGAGCAGCATTAACTACACAGAGCCGTTGTTCACTGAGGAGCTGCGCAAAAAATCGCGCGATTATGAACGTGGTTTAGCGCAGCTCGTCAGTGAACAACGGCTCTGTGTAGTTAATGCTGCTCGATGTGAAAGCACGCAGGTGATAGAGATTTACCGCTGATTACAGAATCGGCTTTACTGATAAGATGCGCGTTAAATATCGCATGCGATTAATCGTGCAGCCCTAGT